TCGGGGGACCTGGAACGGCCGCTGCACAGGGTGCTGGATGCATGAAGAGCTGCTCCCAGCCTTGTGACCACAGGCTGGACGTGGGGAACCAGTCACTGCCTTTGCCTTCAGGCAGCCATGTGGAGGGACCGCTCCGACGGCAGACGAGCACCTCACGTCCATCCCACCGCGGCCGGCCTGGTGCTCGCAGCAGGCACCTGTTCCAAGCAGCACAAACCCGCGCACGAGCCTCCGGCCTCCAGCCTCCAGACCATCCCGGCTTTGGGGCACATCAGCAATGCCCCCCCTCTGCTCCAACCCGTCCTTGCCAGGACCGGCTCACCCTGCAGGCCAGCCCAAAGCAGAGGCGGGCTCTCGCAGGAGGGCGGGCTGCAGCCCTGGGTGTCCCCATGCGACGGCGCAGTCAGGGCCAGCTGTGAGGGGCGGGGACTCGAGCGCCCGGTGGCCCAGCTCAGAGCCAGGCGGCCAAGCACTGGACACACATTCAGACCAACGAGCCTGTCCTGGGTTCCCCAGGGTCCTGCAGCTCCCCAGAGGGGGGAGGGAGACCGGACGCAGAGCTGCGGCGACCTTACCTGCAGAGTAGGGCTCCTGCTTCTCAGGGTCGGTGAATTCCTGCCGCTCATACTTGGCCCGGATCCACTGTTCCCGCAGGAGGCTGCGGACAGAGCACAGGGAGGCCTGAGCCGGGGCCTGACCGCAGGCACGGGGCTCCCAAAGGCCCACCAGCCAGAGGCCTTGAGCATGGTCAACGGCCTCACGGAAGGCAGGAGGGAGGACCACAGGCTTTGGTTTTTAAACTGTGTGCTAATCAGATAGTTTTATTACTAACAGCTCCCCTTTCTAAAACATTGAGATATAATTCCCGCGCCACCAGTCACCCATTCAGTGGTCCACACTGCGGATCGCAGTACGTTCACCGGGTGCACAGCCACCCCCGCGACCCAGTTCCGGGACATTCCATCACCCCAATAGAAACCTGTGGCATTAGCAGTCATTCCCCGGCCCCCAGAACAACGGCCCCACGTCCTGTCTGATTTGTGGGTTCTGGCATCTATGGGAATGACCATGCAGGGCGGCGGCTTTGTGACCGCACCTCCCCCGGCACCTCTGTTGACTCGTCGGGGGGCACAGGGCTTTCCCGGCCAAACACCTCGTCAGCGCCTCCCTTTAGCAGGAACCTCTGGTTGTGAGGGAGGCTGGGCTCCTACGAGGACTTAGAGAAAAGCCAGGGCCCAGCCCCGCCGCCGCGGAGCACGAGGTCAGGCCTGCCTGCCTAGGGGTCCACCACGCTGGGTCCGGCCTCACGGCCCCCCGAATGCCTCTCTGCACGCCCGCCCCACCATTTTGGGACAGCCTGCCCAGAGGTGGAAGAGAGGCCTCCCCTCCTGGGGAGGTGACTCCGGCGGTGTGGCCACACCACTGGCATCCCTGCCCCCCTTCACGCGGCTGTCGGGGGTTGAAGTGCACCCATCTCTCCCCCCAAAACCTTAGGTGGGAGTCCTGACCCCCCAGTCCTCAGATTGGCCCTTATTTGGAAACAGGATGGTTGCAGATTAAGACAAGGTCACCCTGGAGCAGGGTGGGCCCTGATGGAGGGGAAATCTGGACAGACAGAGGGACAGCCACGTGAGGACACACAAGATGCCGTCTCCAGGCCCCGGAGAGGGGCCTCGGGAGGAACCCCGCATGCCTAGCTCTCCGCGTCCAGCCTCAGGGCTGTCACTCAAGTCGCTGGCCTGTGGCACTTTGTCACCTCGGCCCCAGGAAGAAGGCACAGCACCCTTTCCAACGGGGCCCTGGGGAGACTGTGGGCCCTGAGCTTCGGGGACCTGAGGCTGCGGGAAGCCGGGGCTGCCTGCGTCTGGCACACAGGAAACAGCGAGGGCGTTGCCATCAGGGTTAGACCAAGGGGAGTGGTATGACTGTCAGTATCGAAACTCGAAACTTGAGGCAACGGCAGTGACAGGAAGGGCGCCTGGGCCCCAGCCACTCTGAGTCACTCGCCAGCCGCCAAAAATGACAACGTTGCTGGACCCTCGGCGCTTCCCGATTCCAGCTCACCAGGCTCCGAGCCAGACGCACGGGAGCGGAGGGACCGCTGTGTCCGGAGAACTCACTCCGGGCCACAGCTGGGCACACGCCTCGCATCCCGTTTCATCCCCACGGCACCCGCCCCGCTTTAGAGCTGGGCAAGCGGAGACCCAAGGGCCTCTGCCTCCTGGAAGTGGCTGCCGGCCTGCCCTGCAAAGAGCCCTGTTCCGAGCGTGCGGTGTGCGTGCCCTGCAGGACACAAGGGAATCAAACAGAGGGCCTCCCACTGCCCCACGGCCCTCCACAGTGTACAGGGGCACTTGCCCCCACCTCACCACTGGCTGCACACCAGTGAGCCTGGTGTGTCACCCTCCCCACTCTCCTGGTCAGTCTCCCTGCGGACACCAGGCCAGAGGGGGCTTCTCTGAGACACCCTCCCCCCGGCGGCATCTGTGCCTCCAGGGCCTGGCCTGGGCGGACCTGAGCACCTACTGCGTCTGTGGTCAGTGTTGGGCGTGGCTCCTGAGAACCTCCCCTTGGCGGAGGCTTCCAGAAGGCAGGGTCTGCCTGGGCACCAGAGCACGTTCCCCCAGGATGCCCAGTCCCCCGGGGAGGCCGTGACCACACAGCCCTGCAAGGGGCCTGTCGCAGGGACCAGGGTGCCAGGGACCTGAGTGTCCCAGCAAGGACACAAGCATGTGGGCCACTCTGTCCCTCATCACAGGCTCAGATGGGTGGGAGATACAGGGCAGGAGGCAAATGACCCAACCACAGAGCAGCCTGCGGCCGGAGGGTGACAATATCACCTCTCAGAATAGTGGCCAGGCGCTGATTCATCCCAGGGCCGGAGGCCTGGGGCCCCAGACTTCCCTGGGAGCCCAGAAGTGGCCACTCAGAAGTGGCCACCGTGCCTGGGAAGTGTCATCCCTGGCAAACTGCCAGTGTCTGGACACACCTCCCGGCCTCCGCCAGGAGCCCAAGCTCCCCACTCACTTAACGCAAAAGTGGAAGCAGCCGGACACCCACCCTGCCCCACAGGGGCATTTAGTTGACAAAGGGAGCCAGGAGCAAAAACAGGGGAGGTGCTGCTGGGGTGGGGCCCGATTTCGGCATCACTGGCCTTGGGGGTGGGGGCTGGAGATGGGAATTCCCGGCGTGGGGGTGATGGCCCATCCTGGTCCCAGCTCCTCCACTGGGATTCACGTCGCTCTGGGAAACTCCCCCACCCCTCTGGGCCTCAGGGCTCCCTTGTCAAAGGGGCTCATGGAGTGGTTTTAAGAGCCATTCAGTTCACCTCCGAGCTGTGGCTGAGCAGCGTGGACACCCCAGCAGAGGGACAACGTTGGGGTGGGTCTGAGTGACCCCTGAGGGCCAGTTGTGCTCTGGGAGCAGAGGGACTTGGGCATCCTGGGGG